TATCAATTACTTTTCACAAAAAAACTGAATGTACGGCTGAGGGTACGCGTATGGAATGGAAGAGTTAAATCTGATGACTGTGATTTATGAAACAAAAACAGTGTATGTCTATCATGCATGAATAGTAATTAACAACTTATGCTCGACATCGACGTCAGTTGAAAGGCAATAGTGCAGCGACAAATAACAAGTCAATGATCAATTGTTACAAATTAGTAAACACCACTTAAACAAACAAGCACATGTGTGTTATCATGGAGTAAACAATATTTGAATTATTTGAATTCTCCGATCCTTATAATCCCCCAGACCTTTTAACCAGATTCTACACATATTATACACCAGATTCTACATCATATTCTTTTTATATCACTCAACGTTCATATCACTGAATGACATCTAAGGACACAGAGTTAATTAATCAGTCAAATAAAATGACAGAGAATATGACCATAATAAGGTCCTTTTGCCCTCGTAAAGTGTGAGATGTTTATGATGCATGGAAGGTTTTGCTACACATATAAAGCTATATGATTATATCATCATGTGTTAGATATTGGAGCCAAAGTCAAAGAATATATATAGGACAAGAATTATATCGCAATCAATCTAAGCCCATAAGGCTTTAAAAAGCCGTCTTTTCGTGCGTGTGTTTTCATGCTTATCAATTGCTGCACGCTTATTTTACAGCCACACGCGTACTAATGAAATGGGTTCACGTGGTTCATGTGACTCGTCGCCCAAATTGCAAGCGACTGAGCTGTAGTATACACACGAAACGATTTTTGCAGCGACGGTTTTACAGCGATTTGTCGCCTAGTGTGTACCGGCTTTTAAGAATCAGTTATATGACCCCTAAACACCTGCCAACTATATAAAACACGGCAGTTACCATGCACTTGACACCAAGAGCCTTTATCTAATAAATTTTATAAGAAAGCATGCATAGATTTTTTTGGCGACTGTTCTTCTATGTCTACGAATTGAAGACATGTCGGGGGTACGGAGTATTAAATTTAGCAGTCAAAGTCCAGATTAAAGTTGTCGCATTTTCCTAATTCCTTTTTTTTTCTATAACTATACAATTATACATCCCAGTCACGTTTATCTATAAAAGTGCTGAGTGGAACAAAAAAAGATAGCTTAAAGAATGCAATTTAGATGAAACATAACTTAGCGAACAGTTTAGCTATAAATACTATATCTAAATATCAAGATCTATATATATATATATATATATATATATATATATATATATATATATATATATATATATATATATATTCACTTGTTTTTTAGCGCTTTTTGCATGCTGTTACTCGCTTACCTGTCCATATATATTTTTATATATTTTTTATAGCTATGTATATTTTTATCAAACAGCAATCCCGACCCATCGCCCATACGTTTAGGAGATCTCATTTTTCCAGTAGACTTCTTCAGACATATTCACTCAGCATGTGAAAAGGGCAAGTGTTTTAAAATTTCAAGTCTCAGCCACTATCATCGTCCAAGGACAAGCATGCATAATACGGAATAATAAACCAAAATATTTCATAAATTAGGAAGCATGAATATTGTCCTGCCTGTATGTTGCACTTCATGAGTTGGCCACGATAAAGAGCCTTTCCAAGTTTTATTAAGCATGGATTTTGCATGCATATATCTTCACGTATAGTGAATAAAGTCTTTCTGATAAATCGTTCAGTGTGATAAACAGGGTTAGGAATTAGGAAACTGTCGTATTTTCTTTAATCGTTCGTTCCCCACGTGCATGCATGTGCACATATCTCAGCGTCTTTGATATCGATAGTTTTTATGATATCGATAGATTTTATAAGGTTGAACAATTCTCAATTGTAACTGTAACTGTAACTGTAACTGATACTGAGTGCTATATGCTAGATACCGCAGCAATCCCAAGATGGTCCTATTTTGAATTTTGCGATTTTTATGAAGAATATTCTTGATTGGAATTTTATCTTTTTCAATTATAACTTAGACCGCTTTGTTGTACGATAGGCATATATGACAGTGGCAGATGTCATTAAAAGTTTCCAATCTCACAGCAACTGTCATGCACAGCTAAAGGCAAAATGCGGATCAATTCATTAATCTGGTCTGTTTGTCTAGTCTGATGCACGCGAGAAGTTGATTGAGGCATGATAAGGAACCCGCTTCTTATGCATACATTGTTTTCTCACGTGCAGGTGCATGTTTTTCCCACAAATTTACTTCTCTGAAATCGAGGCGTGAGATTCATAATCCTGCATTATACCGGGAAAAACGTGCTCGGCTGCATTGACTCTAAATTATTTGTCGTCGACGTGCGTCTTAACGGCAATCTTCCTGATACGATTGTTATTCGGAACTTTGGAAACAAGGAATTTACAAGAAATATCGCAAAATCATAATAACTTGGAAAAGATTTTTCTTTCTTGTGCATGGGGGGGGGAAGAAAATTTATAATAAGCATAATCTTTCGCCAGTCAAAAATATGTACTTCATGGCCTAGCAGTTTCTACCTGCATGCGTAAGAATTAAGAACTTGATATTGACGCTTGTTTGTATTCCTACAAGTGCATTGTTAATATTGAACGAGTTTGCTCGAATGATCACTGACGGCGTTTTTGAGATGTGTTTCGTAAATGTTGCGTAATATAGGCAAAAAGTCTATAGCTAGATTAAACATCGTCGAGAGTTGTCAAACAAAGCTATTGTTCACTTCAATTAATGTATAAAGTACTGTGTGGCCCAGAAATACTCCTTTAATGTGAATATCCTTTAATATGAATGTATTGAAATACTACTTCAATATGAATGTATTGATGCGACAATCACGCATTAATTTTGTATAATATATGCAGTACTTGAAGCACAGTACGATTATTTCTGTATTACATTGGATTGCAGTAGACTTGTCAAGATGTCTGCAGCTTTATTCAAAAAAGTGTTGTATTGTCGGAGTGTGCTCAAATCATAGTTAATATAACTATGCTCAAATGAACACTGACGTGTTTGATGACACAGGATGAGACACGCGATGTGTTGACAGATTGCGTAATACGCAAAAGCCTGGACCAGAGTGGTCTAGAAAGCGGTCGACGTTTCTAGAATGAAAATAGCGCGAGGTGAATGAAAATAAAACTTCCAATGAAAATAGTTTTGCAATGAAAACAACCAATTTCAAACCCATTCCAAAATATTTGGGAGCATTTTGTATTGTGAATTCTCTGTGACTCCGTTAGTTCCCTATATAGGCTACTATAGGCGCCCATATAATCATACTCGGGAATACTAGCTGTTTCAACAATACAAATAATGCATGTATAATACAAACGAAGCCACAAGCACACGGAAAATGTTCAAATTTGCTATCAAATATTTCATTGCTAAAATTTCACCGACGTTTAGAGATTTGTCGATAGTCATTTAAGTGGACGAAAGAGTGTATCGCATTTTGAGCATTTTTGGGTGATCTTCAGGTATAATTTTATTTCCTAGACTGGCATAGAGCCACAGTCACAGAGATGTTTGAGATATTTCTGCTGCATGGGTTTCTGATTCCCCATTCATACGTGCGATGAGAGTGAGTGAGATTATTATAGTGACTCCTTCCCTCGTAGAAAATAAACCAACCAGTTGTATCAGTTCCAATGAAGTTCAGAGGTTTGTCGATATTTTGACAATCAGTTAAATGCATGGACGAAAGAGCGTATCGCACATTTTGAGCATTTTTGGGTGATCTTCAGGTAATTTCATTTCATAGAGAGGTCGAGCTAGGACTCGAGGTTTCTGCATGGGATTTCATTCCCAATTCCAAAGTTAAGTACGGTGTGAGATATTTTAGGATTATCATTTAGGTGGCAACCAACAGTTCTAGCTGTATCAGTTGGGCCGCTTTATTTATAGAACTGACTTCTAAGTTCTAACTGTTACACAGGCACATGCAGCGTTATTCACTGACCTCTGCAAATAGGCATGTAGTTTCCTACGCAATATAAAAAATAGTGCGATGTTTTATGAAGTCGTTGATTAATGAGAAAATTGTACACAAAGCTGTTTTGTGTCTTTGTCGGTCTGACTATACGAACATTTGGTCTTGTGGTAAAGACTGATTGTATCCTTGTAAGAACCTCTATACTTTATGGCCCAATGCCACGGCTGTAAAGATTTTTTATGTCTCCTCGTTTGCATAAATAATCCTGCAGTCAAGTTCTCATGAATGAACAAAGACCAAATTGAAAGGAGACATCTTGTGCAACTGTGCAAGACTATGCCCAGTAGAAAATAGCGGGACTCCGAACTTTTCTACACCATAGTTATTTTAATGTCACATACCCAAATACAATTTATATATAGCTATTGTTACACCCGACCGTGTTATCTGATACATATTGTCACCTAAAGTAACTTGCTCTGTTAAAAATAGTCACTAAACATTGCCAAGCTATATATTCCCATCAGTTCTATTTTCGAGTTGACCCCTTGCGGTCGACAAAACAGCTGGAAACCTTGTAGAATTTTTATTACGGACATTTGAGAACACGTTACTGCGGGCATATGTTTAGCTATAATGGTATTTTGGCCACAGCTGGGAAAATCGTTCATTAAGTCTGAGTATACGATAAAGCAATTTGAGCGAGAGATAAGAAACCATTGAATTCAATAATATACTCAATCCACAGCTGTTGCATGCATGTTGATGTTTTTCAAACATCCTTTTCAGAGAGTTCTTTGTTCATTTAAACCCGGCATTGTTTTGAAACGATTTATTCATCACGAAACTCGAGATTTCCTTTGGCTGTTTTGAACGTTTCCATTAAATTATTCACCCCTTCTCAAATCAAGGGGAATAGAGTAACCGCGGAAGGGAAATGCTGGCGGGAACCTGATCTAAAATATTTAAACCTTATTATTTTATAATTAGACAGCTGTCGAGAGACGCGATCCCAGAGATGTATTTATTATATGTATTCATATATACAGTCAAAGGCGTTGGTTTATTTTGAACATTTTCATTTATTTCATTTCGTCCGTGATCTTTCTCGTTTTACCTGGACACGGCTCCAGTTTTACAATTTCAATAAATAACTTCGTCAATCATATTCAATATAATTTCATATAAATATAGACTATATATATACTATAAACATATTTCATACTATATAAACATAGGATGTTGTTGTTTATATTTTCACAAATTTTCCTATCCTCCAGTATATTAGTAAAATGTTTTTATGCTTTTCAATTTGATTTGTCAGCATGCTAATACTGTTCGTCCAATAGACGAGTAAGTCACCCAAGTGTTCTGACATTGGCAGCCCATGTATGGCTGCCTTTAGCTCTCAAAAGCGGTCAATTCTAGGTGTCAAAGTGATGTGACAACCCAGCTGTACTTTGTCGCAAGTGTTCGTGTATTTCCAACCATTGTTCTCGGCTGGTCCGTTGGTTTCCCTTCGACTGTGACTTCAAATGTCCAGTGTGCCTTACTTGGCGTTGACTACACAGGCGTGTTCTGGTTTGGTTCCAAGTTTGATATGCAAAGTCAAGGACCCATTTCAAATCCTCTTCGATCTTTGGAACAAGCAGCCATATGTCGCCAATTCGATTTGAACTTCTTCGTAGAAGTCCTTGTCTTTGTTGATTTTTAACATATCACCGCTTTGATTGTTCGTCATTCTCACGCAACGACTCCAAAACTCCGCACGATTTTTGTCACACAGGAACGGTTTTAGAGGGTAGCTAATCTCTGGGCCTTCATATGTGTAGGCCATGTAGAGTATTGTCAAAAGTTCAGATTTGAGTTGGCTCATAGATTCCACGGTCTCGGGAAGAGCGTCTCGCGCTAACATGTAGATAAATGTTATATTAGGTGTAGTAAGAAAGGCATGATCTTGCCATCCGGACAGTGTGAGTGCGCGATCGACAGTCTTGAGCCACATGATGACATCGTTGATGGATAAGTGGGGCAGGATTCGTAAATACCGAGCACACACAAAAGTTCCGAGACATTTTATCGTGAAGTGGGAAGATGTCAACACCGCCTTCGAACTTGATATGTTCTGCGTGTTTGTTTTCTGGATGTTGTTGCTTGTTGGTATAATAGCCGTGTTCGCTTGGGCGGGTTTTAAAATTTTCTCCGTTTTGAGCTCGTTCGTATTGTTCTTCGTCGAGATCGGCTTGAAGATCGTCTTCATTTTACGCTTACTAACGTGCGCGTACTTGTGAAGGTAAGCCGTCGCGAGTTGCACTTCATGGTTCGACAAAATGACATTCTCCTTTCCCATCGAGTCCATAATAGTAGGAACACCGTCCGTATTATTGTTCAATAGCTTTTCCTTGTTAGGAAGACTACCTACTCGGTAGTCTTGTAAGATCTCTTTACGATTTAATGAATGATTTGAACCCATCTCTTTGACTTTGAGAATACAGTACAAACTCTTTTCCTGCGAGTTTTATTTTCGGAGTTCAGCAGTTCTACTCTGCGCTGAGCGTCTGTGTTTATTGCGGGTCACTTATGTTTGTCATTCTTATATACAGTCGACTGCCGGAGATGACATCACAGCCCACGCGCCGTTGTTTGCCACAAGGCGAGTAACAATAATTGTCTTGTAGCTATAGCGATAGATATCAACCTGTGATAGGATTAACATATAATCATCATACCTCAAATTGAACTCTCTTGACACCTATGGTCAGATCAAATATCGAAAGGCAAGGCGAAAAATTGCTGTGACATGTGAACAATTGGAACGCGCAGGAAGGACAGTAATCCTTCTGGAGAGGGGAACAGGAGAGCCAAGCTCCGGGGAAGACAAATCTCTGACGTAGTTCCCTTAACCTATACGCCACGGGTCATCGATGATTTCAATGCGAACAAAGGCATTCGTCTAGCACATTCTAAGTCAAATTTTCTATTTTCTGATGCGTTCGAACATTAAATGGGGCATATATACAATGCATATATTGTGTTGTAGCAACTACAGCGGGGTATATTTTACCATTATCATGCTAAGGATGAAAACAACACAATTTATCCAACTTGCCGGATACAACTTCAGTAAATGAGTCATATAATGCGAATATTCTTTGAGCGCTTTCCTTTCATTTCCGACATTTTAAGAAGGCCTCTCGAACACTTACGCTTGTCAAAACATCAGAGGAAACCGATTATAATAAAAAATAATAATGCTTCGTAGGCAAACGACGGTAAAGCTGTTATATAATTTTACTTCTAGTATAGTGCAGAGTGAGTTTTATAGTAATGTATATAGCCATCTGCAATTAATCTCAGAAGTTCGGGCTTTGGTATTCTTCAAGAAATAATTGGGAAAAAAAACGTAATGTGGTGAGTGTGGGTTGGCCCATGCATCGACCACAAGATATTAGTCTAAGTTTACAACCGCGCACCGCAGAGTTCCGTCTTTCTCCCTAATACCTCAAGAACTAGACCTTATTGTACTCCCAAGCATAATCGTGTGCTTATTGACCATTAAAACTAAGTCAGTTGTTCTTTCTGATTCGTAAATCGTAATGTTAAGGTGTTTAGAGGTTTTTTATGTTTCCTGCAAGCGGTCAGCCGGCGAGTCGTGCACACGCAACGAAAATGTGTGCACGCTATAATGTGTTTCTGTTGTCTGTTGAGTATCATGCATGGTCGGCGTCATTTCACACGGCTAATCTAAAAAGTTCATCTATGATTTGCATTCTCAGTGCGTAGATAATTTGCATTGATGTATGCCAGTTGGCTTTGGCTTTGCTAGCTTCCTCTACCGACAACGTAGCCGCCAACTATTAAACTCTCTCTATATCGTAAGTCGTAACATTACTAATGTTGCGTACAATTAGTCATAATTTAGTCGGAGGACCTACTTGTATAATAAAAGTCTAGCGCAGTCCATAAGTATTCAACATTACTGGTATTACAGAGAGACAGTCTAAGACTAATACTTGAGCACACAAATGCTATGCATAGTTTTCTTGAAAAGAAGGGTCAGTGCCGTGACTCAATTTATACACCTCATGCACCCTAGGGCAAGTTGTGATTTCGTAAAGTTTCAAGTCATGAGAAAAAGCCAAGGAAAATCAAGTGTTTTGTAGGAATGCCATGCATCTATTTAAATTTATTAATCGTTCATTTTATAAAGTTTGAACGCTCGGATTATTTAATATTGATTTCCATTTGAGCTCCAGAACCCACCGAGAACTCATCCAGATGTGTTTGATTTCCCAGGCGGTGTTCTTTTTGCTGCGTGGTAAATTTCCTTTCGCAATGTTTATATGGTAAAACATTGCTCCTGCAGTTTTAAAGTAGTTGATAATTACGGAAGTTTACACTGGTGTACGTTGCGTTAAGTATAAAGAAGACTTTGCGTTTATGGTCGTTCGTTCACCTCCTACATGGAAGCGGTGTACTTTTCATGTTTTAAAAATCATGCACTATAGCACATGAGCATTGGAAGGCGTGAGAAAGTTTCAACGAAGAATATATCGTTTTGAATGCGAACTCGACTCAGTTGAAGCGCGCGAGTCCAATTAAATATCAAACTCGGTCGACAGTCTCCTTTGCCGGATTTAGTTTTGGATGAACAAATGCCAATACGAAACTCATCATCAACTACTCATTTGCTTCCTCTCTTTCGAATGGGAGGTTGAAAAACTTTTTTTATGACCACCTTCCATTTTTTTAATTTTCTAATCTCGCCGAAATCGGATAGTCCGAAACTGATGTGGATCAGTTTCTGAAGTAAGCTATTCTTTAATTTCTGTTTATATAAGAGCAAAAGTGAGCAATTCTGAAAGTTCCATTCGCTTTAACGTCGCTGGGATACGAAGGAACAACTAAAATCGGAAATCACATAGTAACGAGTAAACCTGATGGGGGCTTTATCGATTAAGTAGTATATTATCTGAGCCATTAAACTAGGGATAGGTTTGATCCAATAGTTCTGGACATGCAGTTGAGAAATAATCATGTATATGGGATGCAACTGCTATGCGATACCAGGTTATCCCATTCACCGCCCTTATATTTCCTCTCATAATACGCAAATAGTTTACAACAGCGCGCCTAGTATTACCTATACGTCACAGCTTTTAATGTAAATTTCTAAAAAAAAGAATGATAAGGGCTCTCCTCAAGGCGTTTACTCCACACGCCCAGGACGCGACGCCGTTTTCTGGTGTTTATTTTAAACAAACCTGCATACATGCTGGATTGCTGGTGGCATTTTCCCTATGGCTATATGCTCAATAAACTTGTATACATATACATGCGGCAGCCCTAACTACAGTATATTGCTGCAAGTGGTAGGTTGATATGATCGGCACTACTAACGTTAATCAGGAACAAACAGCAATTAGTTAAGATATCGCCAACACTACGACTCTCACACAATCAATATATGCTCTTAAAAATGTGGTAGTGTGATGAGTATCACAAAGGTGTCACGAAATACATATATTACAACAGAGAAGATAACGCCCGTACAGTACTTCAGCATGCAAGCACGTACAATTTATGACGTTAAGAGTATATAGTAGATTATTGTCGATCGCACGACTTAGCTTTTAAACTATATAAAATCAATTATAGATATAGATCTGCACATCGTCCAATGAAACTCGTCTGCTCAAAATTAGGGGTTTTTTGCCTTTGAATAGTTTGTCTTTATGTATAACCTACGTTCAATTTCGAAATTTATGCGTGTGTGTGGTAAAGTTATGACGGAACAATCGTTGACTTTTCAGTATTTTGAAAGCCCTTCAAGAAAGAATATCGAAGTATACGACAGGCACGAAATATATTATTAGAATTTTAATTGGTTGTCGACATTAGGTTACGACCGAATAGCGGGCGGTGCATGAATTGTGGCTCTGTGTGTATCCACAAACCAGATATGACTTTCCCATTTCCGTCGAGTCGTCGACTGCATACGGATATGATTGATTCATTTTGCGGACAATCACCTTTTGTACATATGATATATTTATCGTGTACGGTATAAAACATATATTTGGGTGTATTTATCGGTCAGGAACTTCCATATATCAGGATCACGCTGTTTTCACTCATTAACCGGCTATGTCGCCTATATAGGCTGGCCGGCAAATGACTATATACATTGCGCAATTGATCGTAGGTCATTCGAGGGATATCATATTGTTCAAAAAACCGATTAATTTTTACCTCGCCCTTTTTTACGATATTTCAGCATCCCTATAAATATACACGCCTTCTATAAATACGCCTTACTTCATAGAATAAAGGAAGTGGAAAGTACCTCAAATGCAGTGTAAAGTCATATTCGTGACATACATTAAATCTACGCGCCTAAAAAGGACAGGATCACTTTCAACCTTTAAATATGAAAGGAAGTTACGTTCTCTGGTCTCAAACATCGAGGTTCTTGTTATAATGCAAATATTCTTTATTTAATCACACTGCCTATTTGAAGAAACTGTTTTTGCCAAGCTATATTTAGTCTATATATGTATATATATTCGTATACCACACCATGCTACTTGCTTCTGGGTCTACTAGTCTATATTTAATCAGTGCATGCTATTTTAAAGAAGGCTTGACCTGTCATAATCTGGTCACACCATGCTGTCCATGGATCACGCCGTTTTGGCTAGAAACCTTTTTTTCACATTTGTAGAGTAAAGTACTTGTGTAACGCGGAATTACCTGCCAGATATCGGCCAATATAAAATATCCATATATATATAGTCGGTTTCAATTACATGACGAAACAAACTTTTTACTCATCGCTATAAAATCTGCTTACAAAGTCAAACTATATACCCATGCACAGTATGCTGAATGTAGCCAAAGATAGCCTTGAAATAAAGTGCGAGTGATAGACCTTAATGTGTAGAAGTTCTACTCATAAAAGGGGAATATTATATAGGTAACGAATTGATGAAAGAAATTTACAATTTCATGCCTGTTGGATTCGGACTGGGTTTTTTTTCTTTTTCTCGATGCCACATAGGCTAAATTATATATTTATATGCAAAAGGCCTAGAATATTCCATTCTAAACATTTCTGATATTATACAAATCAAGATACATACAATATATCTTTTTGCTTATATGCAAGGTTAATTTAAACCGTGGAAAATTCCAGAAATGTTACCTGTAAGCTCAAAGGAAAGGCTGGAATCCAGTATTGCATGCATGGTGATCCAGTCCAGGTCCTTTTGATGTTGCTTCCTGCAGACACAGCGTGTCGCTCTCAAGATCCATTTGCAATCGTGTTCTGGAATAAACGTTGTGCAAACTTGGCTTGTGCTCGATCATAGACCGTGCCAGAATGCACTGCATGCATGCATATAATGCACAATTATCACTATTAGGCAGCATTAGTCTACGGTACGGTCGAAAGGTATATATATAAAGGCGAAATTTTTCGGTATTAAATATTCTATTATATAATATCGTAGATGAAGGTAACGGTTTTTCAAACATATCCTAAACTGTTTTCTTTTCGAATTTTCACGTTCTGCAAGTTGCAACAATTCAT